ACCCTGCTCCCTGCCCTGCCCCAGGTCTCCCTCCCTGCTATGCTGGGGGGGAGCACGGGGACCTCTAGTGGACCCTTCTCAGTATTACAGTATTGGTCCCTTGATCCAGCCCTGCTCACTCGCCTACAGGCAAAGCGTTCGAAGCTGCTGCCCCTGCCTCTGCCCCACGGTGTGAGGCCTCGGACTTCCTCCCGCAGCAGCTGGCGGTGCCTACCCTGGTTGTGCACAGTGTGGTGCTGGGCATCAACTGCGGGGGGCTTCAGGGAAAGGGAAGAGGGCAGGGCTGAGGTGGAGGACCCTGGCAGTGGTACCCATGGGGGTGGCCATGCCCCAGGACTCACAGCACTTGCCCCCTCGCCCTGCCTTGGCCCCTTCGCCTGCGTTTCCTTTTTAAAGGTTATTTTCATAGTTGGAGAGTTTTGTACAGACGATTAAAGCTGCTTATTTATAGTTGTGCCTGTGCTGGATTGGGAGGGGGCGCTGGACCCGACCCCCCACCCCGGGGCGGTCACAGAGCACAGCCTCGCCAAGGCTGGGCCCATTTGGGGTGGCAGTGGTATCGCCGCCTCTCCCCAGCAGGATCCAGCCGGGGTGTGTTTCCTCCAGCCCATCCCCTGAGCCCGCAATCAACAAGGATCAGGCCTTGCCCGCCCCCCGCCTCCGGTGACGCAGCCTGGGTGCGAGGATCGTCTGCCAGGGGCCTCTCCTGGCAGGGGCAGAGGCACTAGCATGGACCCAGCAGCAAGTCCCTGTGCCCGTGGTCTGCTCCTGCTGGCTCAGGGCCAAGCACTCAGAGCTGCTCCCCTAGCGTTGGAGCTTCTGGCTTTTTCATGTTGCCATGGAAATCTAGGGCCCAATCCCCCCGGGTGCCTGGTGGGCTGCAGCGCGAGGGTCAATTCCCAAGGGCTGGTTGCCAATATGGCCCCTCTTGCTGCAGAAAGTGGGGGACCCCGTCTCTGCCCCCTCATTTCAGCTGAACAGAGGCTGACCCTGCTCCCTTCGATGGGGTTTGTAGCTCGCTCCGCACTGCGTCCCCCGAGCACAGCCTGGGAGGACCTAGAGGAGCTACTCGGCTTTAGGGGTGGGGTCTTTAGAGCCCCCAGCTGGTTCTAAGTAGAGTCACCATGGTCCTATCCCACCCTCCTCCAGCTGGGAAAGGGTCTTGGGCAAGCCAGGACTCCTGGGTTCTATTCCTGAGGGCTATTGCCTGGCTGCATGACCTACGGGGTATCACTCCTCACTGGGCCTCAGTTTCCCTTGCTAAGGGCAGGAGGGAGGTGCTTGTCACAGGGGCACCACCTGTGACGCACATGGGGAGGGCAGAGGCACAGACTCCTCCTGGGGTTGGGCTGTGAGGGGGGGAGGGGAGGCCAGGGCATCAGCACAGGGTGGCCAGGGGCTGGGCCCAGCTCAGCCACCCCAAGGATCAGAGTCCTGTAGGGTGGCTCAGGGTTGGCCCCTTTGCTGGGTACGGGCGGGACCCCTGGGCCCCAGGCCATCAGCACCCAGCAGAGCAGCTTGGGCTGGGCCAGGGGGGGCATATGGGGCTGGGAGGAGCCGACCCCAGGCATGGACGGTGAGGGGAGAGGAACGTGGTCTGTGTCCCAGGGCAGGAGGGCTGAGAGGAGCCAGGCCCAGTTTTGCGCTGGCCCCCATCCCCTCAGCACGGAGGGGAGGGGGACAGGGGAGCAAGCTGGCCCCTCCTCCACTCCCCCCGCAGCTGCTATCAGGGACAGGGTCTCTTCCTGGGGCAAGGGGGGCACATCACCCCCCCC